GTATCTAGATGTTATGTACTGAATAAAGCCTGGTGAACTCTACGTCCATTGGTCCGTTTCCAACCCGCGATCATCTACCACAGACAGGTGCAATGTTCTTCAATATTCCAACGACCAATCATACATGAAATGTTAATGAAAAGTAGAAAAAGTAGAATTAAATGTTTAGTGAGTTTTAAACAGGTCATGAACTAAACGGGTAAATGTTTTAGCTACTTTATTGGTATTAGGATTTATGAGTACAAGAAATTAAGTAAACTTGTTTAAAATGACGGCATTGTATTTGGATTTTATTCAGAGGAAGCAACATACGTGGAGTGGACCTCTTTCCGTTCAGAAAATACCAAGTAGTAGTTAAATTTAAATGTAAATTGACTACGTTTAAATTTAAATATGTTTTAAAGTAATAGTGTTTGTATAATTCGAAATTTCTCCGTAGTTAATGACGAAATGCTTGTCTCGAAAACATTAAGCGACACGTAATTTCATGCATTTTAATGGAGGTTAGAAATAATTATATTGCAGAAACAAATAATATTAATTTTAATTACTTTTGAACATTTTAGACATTCTTATTTTATATTTCACCCAAGAACTTTTGTACGACGATAACGAAGCAACTAATATATATCACACTTTTTCTATGGCGACATTTTTTGTAAGCCTGTTAGGTGCAGCACTGGCTGACACTGTGTTAGGAAAATTCAGGTGAGAATAAAACTTCAATTAGTTAAATTATCAGAAATATTCATGTGTCTTAAAGCCATTTATAAGATATAACCGAAGTATTAATTGTGTATTTTTATTTATAGAACAATAAGTTACATGTTAATTTTAACTGTGTTTGGATGCGTAATCCTCACTATGGCTTCTGTCCCAAATTTTCTTCCAATGAGGTAACTTATGAATTTATTTTAATTTGTATTATCGTACTTAAAAATACCAGAAAAGATTTACAATAATTTAAGTTCTTGTCATTCCTGTATTAAAGAAAACAGTTTACCATATTTTCATTTAAAATTTGAATTTCTAAGTTATAATATTCGTGTGATATTGTATATTCTTCAATTATCTGTTTTTTCGGTTTAAAAATATATGCAAAATATTAAGAAAATTTATAAAAGCTCAGTTTTATCTTTGTATTTAGATTGACGACTATGGTTAGTTTAGTAGTGATAACTATTGGAACAGGAGCAGTACAACCTTGTCTTCGTGTGTTTGGAGGAGATCAGTTTCAAGCAAATCAGGTCCTTATTTTTTCATTTATACATTGTTAAATACTAATATACCTCGACATACGATTATCTTCTTCTCTTGAAGTAGTCCTGGCCAATTTATATTGGAGTATGACTGACCAAGTTAAATGCACCAATGGTCTGCTTTACATCGCCATTCTTCTATAAAAGCTTAATAATTTTATTAAAATTATACTACAGAACATAGTTATACTTATTTATTATGCAGTAATTAACATTATAGAACACCTCTTTGGTAAATGCACTAAAAACATAAATCAAACAACACCATTTCTATTTCATTGTAATAAAAAAGAATTATTTTTCTTCTCTTCACACAAATCGCAAATTTTTCTCTTGTTTGGTTTATTCAGTTTGCACTTAACTGAAATATGTTAAGGTACAACTTAACAATTACTAGAATAACAATATAACCTAGCAAAACCCTTTGACACAAAGAGTATCACACTTTATCCTATGAAGAGTAACCTACTTGAATTTTATTTTTACTACTTGTCCATGGGCAAGTAATTAAAAGAAATTTCTCGGTGAAAGGCATGAATTTAATTGGGCTGCAACCTTGAAATTGTAGATCTACACATTTTCACTATTGTCTGTCTGCTGTCTGTCCTTCGAGAACGAAGTTACATGGATTAAAATTCAGACTACTTGAAAAACTTAAGGCCAGAAGCTCCGATTAATATACAAACTTCTAGTCGAGACCAAAAGTCCCGTGATTTTTAAAATTTTAATTAAAATCCTTTGCTATTTAACATGCCATACTTTCAGCAATCGGCTTGTTGGCCATCCCCGCCATAAGATTTCTTGCAGGCCTAGCCGTTTCGCCAAACAAAAGTGCATATAGTTAAAACCAACAAAGCTGTGTACAGCAGAATTACTGTATCCTGTATAATTAACATTGATTACTGTTTATCTTAGATTAAAAATTGGTTACAAAAGTATGGCACTTTTGTAAAACGATCATGTGACCTCTCGTCATCTGACAATGTGTATTCGCTTGCGAATATTACATTGGACTTGCAATCAAATGAACAATGCTGTTAAAACTGTCGTAAGTTGAAGTACGTCTACTTATTGCTCATTTCTTTCTATTAAAAATACTATTAATTAAATATTCATGAAATATTCATTTATAATTAAAAATGTCGCAGCAAATAGTTATGTACGTATGCTTTTAAATCGCATAAAATTCATTTTTCCTTGTACTAATTATTTTACAAATGCATTTAATCTTTCTTAAAATTATTATAAAATAGGTAAAATATTAATTTTGAATGTATAGATAAATCTTATTNTTTCAGCAATCGACTTGTTGGCCATCCCCGCCATAAGATTTCTTGTAGGCCTAGCCGTTTCGCCAAACAAAAGTGCATATAGTTAAAACCAACAAAGCTGTGTACAGCAGAATTACTGTACTTATAACCTCTATAATTAACATTGATTACTGTTTATAATAATCTTAGATTAAAAACGATAATGTAACCTATCGTCATCTGGCAATGTGTATTCGCTTGCGAATATTACGTTGGACTTGCAATCAAATGAACAAGGCTGTTAAAACTGTCGTAAGTCGAAGTACGTTTACTTATTGCTCATTTCTCTCTATTAATAATACTATTAAATACTCGTGAAATATTCATTTATAAGTAAAGATGTCGCAGCAAATAGTTATGTATGTATGCTTTTAAATCGCATAAAATTCATTTTTCCTTGTACTAATTATTTTACAAATGCGTTTAATCTTTCTTAAAATTATTATAAAATAGGTAAAATATTAATTTTGAGTGTATAGATAAATCTTATTTTAAATAAATATATATATATACATATATATATATGCTAATAACGAGGAAAATTGTCATTAAATCTTACCATTCTCGAGATACGACACAAAACTCCCGTTTATCTTCCCACTCCTTTGATGTTTAACTGCCAAACTTTAATAGCATGATGTGCCATAAATAAACAAACTTCCCTACCAAATTTCTGAAATCTTTAACAAAAGACACGGGAAAAATTAAGCTACATAGCGGATGGAAAAATTGTGCCACCCACATACACACACTAAAATCCACACATAAAAAGAAAATCGTCAAATATTTTTGCATTTCTTCATGCTTGAAGATCCACTGAGTCCAATAATTGGGGAGACATCTTTTGACCGATCGCTATCCTTTCCCTCTATTAAATAAGCTGAGGAAGAACATTTAAAGTGCGGTTCAGACTATCAAAGTCACGTGATGCGGATCTAATATAATATCAGTATAAGCAGACTAATGACTTAGTCCGTTAAAAAAAAAAAACTGGTTACGTCCTTGGCTGAATTGAGACCGTTTTATAAGACATTATGCCCGCAGTTTTGGGTAAAGTGTACCTGGATATGATATTTAAAAAAGAAAAAAATGTACAAATAATAATGTTTTACGTTATATTAACAGTACTTTTTACATACTTTCTTAAATAAATTATATATATATTTTTAAATACACAGTTTCGTGCAAGTTATATAAATAAATTCCTTATAGATACTTAAAATTAACTGAATTTTTATTCCATTAATAATTATAATCATTATAGTTTATATATAATTTACAGAAAATAGAATTACGCAGATTTTTTTCTCATTTTTCCATTTCCTTGAGATTTGGGACGATGCTGTCGATGATCCTAGTGCCTATTTTTAGAGGTAAAAGTGTGTATTTAAGTAATAAAACAAATAACAATTAAATAATAAGCTTTAGCTGTGTTCTGCGAAAAAATTATTTCCGTTTCGTCAAACATTTTCACCGATTTTTGTAGTTTCAATGGTACTGAATACGAATCTGGCAACAGAATTAACCTAACACCCACCACTTTTGAAAGAAGTGAGGTTTTTGAAGGAAAACATTTTTGTTCAAAATATCATATTTGTTAGCTAATTGGCTATGTATTAAATGTATGTTAATTACTCCCGTTTTATAATTTTATACATTTCAAAAGTGAAACATTAAGTAATACGTTTTCTTCCTTTTCTATTCATCTGAAGTCTCTTACTCTGGATTTCAGCAGTAATCTGCTATCCCGTTCCCGTTCCCCTTTCGCTATACCACTTTTCAAGGAACATTTCTTATCGTTTCTGATGAAACATTTCTCCATGTCCATCAGAAACGGCTCCTAATTTAGCGAAAAAAAATCTAAATGGGCAAGCAGGAAATTACATCTTGAGTGAGATATTGCAGTCCAATGTTTGTAGAACGTTTCCAAATTTTCTACGATTTTCTCATACTTGTTAGCTCGTACATTCCCCAAAAAGCCTTGCTTACGTTCTCGAATTCCTCCACTCTCTTCTTTCCGTTCAGTTACCTTTTTTCCTCCAAATTAAAACTCTTCAAACTCTGTTTTATTTTGGGCCAACGGAATTCCTTTCCTCAGATTACAAAACTTTTGCTTCAGGAAAGTAAAGTCTTCTTTTCTGTTCTTACCTTTCACAATGTTTTTCATCAAATGATCCTGATACGAAAAGGAGGTATGAGGATTTTAGTTTTCCCCCAGAGCGGGAAAAGCATTATTCTTCTTACCAAGTATTTATTGAATGGTAAGAAGGACTCCTTGATCGATTGCCTAATTCACATAAAAAACCAGCAGAATTTGGTGTATCCTCTTTAAAGATCTGTTAGCATTGCAACCACTTTGAGATCAGCACACGGAATACCTTCATGTTATACTAAGTTTCTTTCATGCGAAGATCATGAGCAAACGGAACGGATGAATATTTGTTGCCATTGCAAAGCAAAACTCCTTTAAGGCTGAACTTTGATGAGTCCATAAAAAAGATCCTGTAGCTGCTAAAGTTCCTCCAACAAATGTGGTATATCGATGCAAAAAAACGAGATTGTCTTCCATAGAAAAAATTTTAGATTACCTGATTCCGTTTCTCTGTAACAGGAAGCATCACTGCTTGAGACGTAATGCAAGTACTGTAGTTGAATCCTTCTTTTTGAAATATCCAAATCACAAACCAGATCTGACATCTACCAGCTGACACCTGTAGCACCTGATTTAAAAGCATCCATTTCAGATTTCAGATTCATATTCAGCACATTACAATATAATAAAAATATCGCATTATCTTTCACGGGAGGATTTCGATGCAGAACAGTGTAATAATTCTTTTAATTCTACTTAACTTTTTAGTTTTTCCTGTTTTATTTCATTTTTCACAGAGATGATTAATTCTTACTTATTAAGTAGTGATTGTATGCTATTTCCAAGTATATTTATATATATACAAATGTCAGACTAAGTAGTATGTATCATGCACGACAGATAAAGGTTTCTTCTACACCGTTCAAGTATTGGCATCAAGTTTGACACGAATATTCTTTGTTACCCTAGGAAAAACTGTGGGGTCCCACTCCAACTACCCCTAAATACCACACGCTCTTAAGTTAAGCCCGGGCAATTTTTTGTATTTTGCGTTTTATTATTGTAAATATTCGGGTCAACGACTGAAAATTTTATTTATCAACACCACTGTTTTTATCACCCTCTCTAAATCCTCAAAAGCTCAAGCAATGCCTGGCACATTCAGAAAATACGATAATAACACTGGAAACTAGCATACAACACTACTCGTTAGTTATTAATTAAACAAACTATTATTCTCTGGAAAAATTAAAATATAATAATAGTAATAATAAATTCTTTCATATCTTTTCATTTAGCTAAGGTTCATTGTTTTGAAGAGTCGACGTGCTACCCTTTAGCTTTTGGTTTTAATTTAGTTATACTTACACTTACTTTAGGTAAGTTAATTAATTATAGCTTGATATTAATCTAATTTTTCTTAACTGTAATTAAAAAAGGCGTTGACAGGATTTTCTGTTAAAAGATAAAATATATAGGGTTTAGATTAAAATATTTCAGCAAGTTATACGTTGTTTCTACTAAATATTAACTAAATACAAGTGTATGATAGTTTAGGTAATAGGTAGTGGGTTATTAGGCCCTACTTGGCCCTGGATTTCCTCTTCCCATGGAGCTAAATTCTATCTCCGTGTCCATGAAAAATACTGACACAGTATAAATTACAGTTAAGATCATAAATTTAGTAAAATGCGTTGTTTTTTTTTTTTGTCAAAATAGTCAAATGAACTTTGTCAAAAATGGGTGCGAAAAATGTAAAGCTTTTCTGCGTAGTTTCATGCGCTTAAGGCTGCGTTAACTGTATAAAGAGACTCTAGGGGCATAATTTATAGGAATATTATTTTAAAACAAAGTAACTCTGTGTGAGCCTTCTCTACATGCTGGAGGAAGACTCACAGTTTCTACAATCTAATTTTAACGAGGTCAAGCCGCTCGCGCTTTGAATGTTTTGCCCACACATCAAACATTTGATATTAATCTCCTGACTTTCTAGAATTTTATAAATTAAATTGTACCACTATCTGTAATAGAAGCCACGATAGGATTTCCCACACAAGAAGGAAAAGTCGAGGATGCACGCAATCGAATAGCCCATTATGGATCACCTATATTTTGATGTCATTGTATTTAGCTGATACGTAGAAGCAAAATATATGTATACTGCTGCAATATTATCTATAAGCTGTAGAACAAGGGTCTCCAAACTACGGCCCGCGGGCCGGATCCGAACCGCGAGGTCAGTTCATCCGGCCCGCCGTCGCATTGTGCTAAAAATTAGCTAAAATATAATTTTGTATAATTATAATTATATTTATATTTTTATGTAAATAATTATATTTGTAGATAAACTTACTATGTAGAAAAATTAAAATAAGCGTAAATAAAATTGCCAAAACTGGTTCAATCTGATTTTTGCATCTGACAGTAATATAATTTTTAGAAAAATCGATAATATAAAAAATCTGGCGACTTTTTGCGCCTTTGGATATCAGTACCTGTACACAAAAAGCGCTCTGAAAAAGTATAGGGTGGTTATACAGTAGAGCCTCGGTTATCCAATTCCCGATTACCCGACACCTCGGTTAACCGACAGTCCTAGTCAACAAATTTTAAATGTCCGCTAGTGATGTGGCGCTACAATATTTGGCTATGTCTTGGCTACTTTAATATTATTTTTACGTGTTTTAGCTGGCAACACTCATTCGACCATGAAAGCGAGCCAGTATTTAAACGAGGCTTAATTTTATAATTTTTAACGATACAATATTTAACGATTATTATTTTAAAAAATTTTTGTTAGGCTTAACATCGATGAAAATTCAACGCGAAGTAGGTTAATAGCGATATACTAATATACTAATATACTAATTACATGGGATATAATAATATACTACACTAATAATGGATATTTTATACTTCTCGGTTATCCGACTTTTCAATTATCCGACCAACCCCAGTCCCCAATTGGGTCGGATAATCGAAGCTCTACTGTAATTAAAGTTGCTTTACTCAGACCTGTCTAGAGCGCGTTCTCGTGGATGTATTTTGATGAAACTTGGTATATATGTTACTAGCGTTGTTGTGGCTCAAAATGTATCTATTATAAATGTATAACACTTCCCGCGGGAGAGAAATTCGAAAAATTCCTTCTTAGCGTACATTCTCTTGACGTACTCTATTAAAACGCAATCAAAAACGCAGAAAACCGCGTCTAAAATAGTATAATAGAAGCTGAGTTCTACACGGTAAGCCATAATTTTGTCTTTCTCCCTCGCGGGGGAATTTCGAAATCTATGTAATATACAAGTTCGGATACGTGCACTGCATATCTCGCCGACCACGCGACTGCGCCGCGCGATTATCTATCTGGTATACATACGCGTCTTGCCCCTCGCCACCCGCTGACATCAAAAATATAACTCATACCTAGATGATATCTTTTAATTTATATGAATTTTTAATAAAATAATATACAGCCTATTTCCACCCTGAAGGTTCATTCTAAATATTCGTGAAAGAATTTTTGAAATTGGATGAGTAGTTTTGGAGATTACCTCCGACATCCAAACTTACAAACTTTACCTCTTTATAATATTAGTATAGATATGGACAGCTGTACGGCGTTTTGAACATGTAATTGATGCAAATAGATTGCACATTGAACAAATGTTGTGAATAAAAACGTTTTGCGTGTTTCCATTTTGTGTTTCTTGTTCTTCATGCGCCATCTTTTACCTAGTAATAAAAATTCGAACTAAGTAGTTTTTTTTGCATTTTCCTTTTCCCCGTGGTCCATATAACATATATATCATCAAAACACGTTCACGAGAACGGACTCTACACAGGTCTGAGTAAGTCAACTTTAATTATACCTGCAATGAAGTTTCTAAGGAAAGCGATTACGAGCTTGCTGCAGCGACTGTGTTTATGTATTGGTAAATAAATGTGTTGGTTGTCTTTATTTTTTGTGTATTAAGTATACTGTATTGAACAAAATAGTTATGTGACCCGTGCTCGTCATTCATTCAGTTATGCGGCCCACTGTGAAAAAAGTTTGGTGACCCCTGCTGCAGAAAATTTTTTTGTCTGAAACTAAAATAAAAAAGATAGATAATAAGAAAAAATTTATTGAAATTTCGTTTACAGTTATTTTTTTAATTGGATATCCCACTTATAAAATTAATCCCATTTCTGGAAGTGTATTGCTGAATGGAATCAAGTGCATAACGGTAAGTATATTTTCTTTTATTGAAGTAATTAAAATTAATTATGTTGCAATTAATTGGGGTGCAATTTGTAAAAAAATTGTAGGCATAAACTACCACAGTCGTCTGTTTGTCTGTTCTTCCTTAATCTCGAGAACTGAGTTAGGTAAATGTAATTCGATACCAGATATGAAAAGCTTACATGAGACCCCGAATTTCCGGTTTGCATTCCAACGCATTTTACATTATTACAATACTGTTCCTTTTTGATATTAAAAATTTACATTTATAATAAAATTATAAATGGACATAAAATTAAACAAATTATCTCAAAAATATCAATTCAATAGCATCGGATAATATCAAGGATCATTAAAGATATAGAATTTGCAGACAATCGAAAGATATCATTGTAAACAGGTCATACTAAATACAAGTCCACTCTGCCACAGATAGATAATATTTTTTAGAAAGATGATGTGTGATGTAATATGGAAAACAATACTAACACGATGCAACACTTCTTTATCGGATACCTTGAACTGGTTTTAAAAAAGTGAAATTTATATCAATTTTATCAGATAAACGAATATTTATATTGAAAACAGAGAATAATATAAGAGTGCTTTTCAATTTTAAAAAATTATAGAAGAAACCAAGTAGTCTTCAATTCCGACAAGTCAACTAACAAAGGAACACTGATTAAAGTTTCTATTTTTGTTAATATTGTAAAAATATCGTCTACCATTTTAATTAAAATTAAAATATGTATTAAAATTAATTTATAATTTGCCATAATGTTTAAACTCTTCTTTTCTTTCGTAGCATGCAGTTGCAAGGAAAATTAAGTTGAGGAAAGTGGTGATCAAAAACCATTGGTTGGATTATGCGGATGATAAATTCAATGTAAGCTATATTTTTTCCTAAATTGTGAAGCTTCAATCCTTAATTATTCAAACATTACATATATATTTCAGTCTCAAACAATTTTTGATATAAAAGTAACTCTTCGAGTTTTGTTGATATTATTGACATCGTCTGTAATTATTGCTTTAACGCTTCTGAGGGTAATTATTTTAAAAAGTTTTATGAAAAATGTAAAGAATGTAAAAATTGTACATTAAACATTTAATATCATATATTAAATTTATATTGTATTTTGAAGGGGTCGAGTTTTATATTACAAGCGACAAAACTACAAAATACAGTGGTAAGTAATAATTTCGCCATTTTTAAAAAAAAATGTAAAATTCTGTTTTAGTAAAGAATGCTAGTAAAATTTACCGAATCAATATAATTTAAAGTACAACAATAAGAGTTTAATAATATATCCTGCAATATCTGTTCCGTTTTTTTGAAACATCCACGCTTAAAATATAGTCTACTTCACGAACTAGAATAAGTAAATCGAAAGAACATTAAATTGACACTTTAATGCCTAGGTCATTTGATCGGCCATGTTAAAAGGTTGAAAATATGTAGGCCTACTTAGTGGTTGCTGTAAATTTCTGTACGTTTATATGCTTAATGGTGGCTGTAATTACAGCAAGTAATTAAGCATCAATATTTAGTAAAACAAACAATAAAAACTGCCAAAATTTTGCAGTTTCCAAACACTGCTTTTACATAGATATAACGTTACTCAGAAATGACGCAAAATTATGTTTGATTTTAAAGGTATTATAGTACTAAAGCAGTGGATGACACACGTAGAATCCAGTCGAAGCATTTTACAGATACATTATCGTTGTAGCCATCTTGAATTTCGTATTTAGCTCTTCCGAACTTCGCTGCTATTGCCTGCAACGAGTATCTTAAAGCGGAAGTCAATAAACAGATTTTCAACAAATAAGCTTTAAAAAACTTTGTTGAAAGATAGTGGCCTGGTAATGGTTTTTAAAACAACTTTCCTTGGCTGTATATTAGCGCTGTATATTAGCGTTGTATATTAGGAACAAGGCCTACAGAAACTGGCAACAATGGTGAGCGTGCCAATTCCAATTATTGCAGAATGAGATTATAAATATATTTTTTCATACGAGAAACTGGTCTCTGATTGTTAATAATTTGGAACACTCTGAAATTATTAATTTAACAAAGAAGTTCGAAATTTTTGAAAAATAAATTTTTTGAAAAATAAATCGACTCTAAACTATTCGTTTTCACACATATTTAAAAGTAAATAATTATGCTAAAAGCAATTTTAAAAACACATTTAATTTAAATTATTATATATGTACAGTATATATTTAGTTTTTCATATAAGTTTTGACATATTTTACAAATTTAATTTTTTTAACATCATGTAAATTATAAATGAATATTACTTTTATATCGGCGATAATTTGCTAATTGTTAAAATTAGTTTCTCATAAACTTTCCCAGTTAGGCTTCAAGATAGAACCAGACCAACTCTCAATATTATTGCCAATAATAGGCATTTTGTGCGTTCCTGTATTTGAATACGTTGTGTATCCCATCTGCAATAAGTGTAACTTGCTAAACAGGTATTTAAATTATTTTAAATATTCTAACCATTTTATTATAAAAGTATTACATAATATCGATTCCGGGTATGAACACTGCTTATACAAATACATTGATAACACTAGCAGAATTGCAAATAAAGCCTCGATTAAGGGTAATTACATAAAAATGTACGAGCTTTGCTAATTGCATTGCTCGTACATTTTTATGCTTTTCTTTTCGAAATTTCGGGAATAGGATATTCTATAACTTTTAATCCTAAATTTCCAAAACGAAAAGTTACAATGCCACACGCTCGTTAATCTTTCCCTGGATCATTATTTGTTCTTTTGAATAATCTTCCATTTCGTATGACTGCAGAGATTGGTTCTCAGTGCCATCGACAGGGAGAGCAGTTAATTTTTCCTATGACCATGGCACTTAATTGTTTTTATCCCTATTAAATTTAATTTTAATGACAGAAAATAAAATATTTAAGACTGCTTTTTTTCATAATTATACATTTTACGTATTTTATTTGTTGAAAAACACGAGAAAAAATGCCCTCCCTATACGAATTGTTCGTACTCTTATTCTCTAGGGCAGTGTTCCGCAGTGTTCTTCTCGCGGCACACCTATGACTCGACATGGCACACCAAAATGTTATTCCCCTCAAGAACCTATAATATAATACTAATAATAGAATTTCGTAATGCCATAAACCTATTATTATTATTATGTAGAGTTTTGTGAGTTACACTCGATTGACACCGATGGCTGTGTATTATATCGGATCAGAGTCAAGGCATAATAACTTGAAAACAAGACAAAAAATTAAATAAGTGTGTCAGTGTGTGTCTGTATGCAGGAATTTCCTAACAATGTGGCATGAATTCAATATAGTGGCATTCTGTAGTGTGATGTATGAGTTTATATTCAATTTTAATGTTCCCAGGCTTTTGTGTAGTGTGTGGTATGAAACTTGTAGAGGAGAGAACCACAGGTACAATAAGCACTCTATCCATCCTTCATAGATGCCTTATTTCCTAGGCGGGTTCTGTGTACTTGCTGGTTTTTTCACTGCGTGAGTTTTTCACATCGTGAGTGTTCGGAATAGATATGTCTATAATGTTTGTGATTTTATTGTGTTTCTCAGTGAGTGTGATGTCTCGTCTGTTGTGGTAAATTGTTTTATCTGTGATTGTGGTGGTTTTAGTAGATTCTGTGTGTGTTGTTTTCCAATACTACCTGCTGAACGTATCTGTAGTATGGTTCGTGAATGTCTAATAATTTGTGTTTCTTTGCAAGCTCTTGATGTATTTGTTACTTGATTATATCTATGTAAATTATGTGTCTGTGCCAAAAACTTGCAACCACAAGTAATGTGTTGTATGGTTTCTGGCATGATGTGACATTTTCTGCATGTGTCGTTTCTGATTGTTGTATCTTTGATTGTGTTTTCTGTAGTTTTTAGTATTTATGACCTGATTCTGTATGGCAGTCATGAATCCTTCTGTTTTCTTAAAGAGGCATCCCCGAGATAACCAGCTGTTTGACGCAGTTTTTGCAACAAAATCCTGGGCCAGGTCATGGGGATGTCTGCCATGGAGGTCCTTTTGCACCCACGATTGCTTGATGGTGTTTATGCTATTTGTATATTATGTCTTGTCCATACGTTGTGAATGTAAATTTAATGGTGTTTATATAACTGTGATGTTTCTTGTTTTTTGTAGAAAAACTCTCACAATGTCTGTATTTGTTTGTAGTGGNGGTCCTTTTGCACCCACGATTGCTTGATGGTGTTTATGCTATTTGTATATTATGTCTTGTCCATACGTTGTGAATGTAAATTTAATGGTGTTTATATAACTGTGATGTTTCTTGTTTTTTGTAGAAAAACTCTCACAATGTCTGTATTTGTTTGTAGTGGAGGTTAATTATGTGGATCAGGCCACGTCCTCCATCTTTACGTGGAAGGGTTAATCTTTCTATGGCAGATTTAGGATGATATTGTTTATGCTTAGTAAGTGTTGTTCTTGTTTTCATTTGGAGTTGCTCGAGATCTGTGTGAGTCCAATGTATAACTCCAAAAAAATAAGTGAGTACTGGGACAACATGAATGTTTATTGCTTTAACATCATCTTATTTCATCAGTGAATGAAATACAAGCATAAGAAACACAGCAGCAACTGTTGCGGAACACTGTTCCAGGGCATCATCTGTAATACTTATGTCGTACGGTCCTCAAACTAATCTCATGTTTTAAAATTGAAATATCTTTTGAACGTCAGAAATTCGTGTTGACTGCAACCAAATTTTTGATCGTATGAAAATCTTATTAACAAAATTTTATTCTAAAGCTAAATACTAAATCTCATATTATATATTTTACTGTAAACGATTTGTATATCTGTATCAATAATACTGTAATTGCTCGCAGCATCTTTCGTTTTGTTTACATTATTACATATTAACAATGATTATCAATACATTTGGGATTTTTATTTATGGCTGCAAAACTTTAATTATATGAAACTTTTGTTGTAGTATACTATGCATAAGTTATTTCTCTGCGTGCATATTATCTTACATGAAGTCTCAAAGATTCGATTTTTCCTAATACAGTAGACCCCCCTATAATACGGTAGATACGTTCCGTGTTTTATGAAATTCATGTTGTACGAGTCCTTAAATACATGAGCCAATCACAGCCTGGCACGTATGCAGTTTACGGAATACAGCTGTTTGAAAGGTTTCCTTCCATAAAATTAATTGATTCTAGATTAATTTGACTAAACATTTTCAAAACACATATAATTTTTTGGGAATAATCCGTATAAACTATGCTATAAACAAAAAATTGTAGGATTACTTACCGAGTCTGCACCGTTTGAGGACGCCATTGCTTAAGCTTGTTTTCGTCGCGGAGCGGCGCATCGAACGGCGGCGCGTGTTTCCTGATAGATTATTTTTCTGCGAAAAATTCGCAGAACTTTGGAGACATCATTAATATAAATATAATTTTTATGGCCGTTAAATAATAAATGGTTTTTAGTAGGTCCGCTGCACGTTTAAACTCAAAGGTTTGTGCAATATCCGCTATTGGTCTAGATTCGAACAATCTTATTCGACCAATCCTATACGAGTCGGCAGTGGCGTTTTACCGTATCATACGAGTTTCTTTTAGCGTGTTTATACGAATACGATCGCAATTTTTTCGCCGTCATATTATATAAACTTATATAAACTTTATATAATACGGATTATATATTTATATAATCCGTATTATATAAACCCGTTTTATAGGGGTCTACTGTATATTATTGTTTTCCTTAATCATAACTCACTTAATCATAAGAGTTATAATATTGAAACTATTTTCGCAATTCTGCTATAATTTAAAAAACACAAAAAGAAAAACAATGGTTATTATGTAGAATTTTATGTAAAAAGTGCATCTAACCCGACAATAGATTCAGATACTTAACTACCTGTCGGATTTTCTTCCGGGCTAAATAATTACTAAGCAATTTGGCGAAAGGCAGCCATTTCTTTTTAAACATAAAAGATAAATTTTATTTTATTTCAGAGTATTATTCCATAAATATTCTTCTAGAATTTGATATAACTTTATAACGTTCATTTGTATTTAAACTCTCTAATTTTTCTAATACAGTACTCAATACCAAAATATTTGCTAGATAAGATGTAACAACAGACAAACGATTGAAAGTACTATCTTCTTTATAATATTATTTATATAGTTAATCACAATAGTTATTATAAAATTTTAGGGATAAGTAAACATACTTAAATTATAAATTACCTTAGTACGTATTGTCGTGTGTGAATAACGTTTGCAGTATATTGAATAATTGTATAAAGTAGGAAAGTATATATGTAAATACAATTTTTATTGTAACATAATAGTACATTTTTAAATAAATAATTCTTTTTAAAATATTAATTACTTTGTTTTATAATTATTTTTCATTTTAGTACTTTGCAGCGGATAATTTTCTCCAGTGTTTTAATTTTATTGGCGTACGCTGCAGCCGGATTTCTTCAGTTATCAATAGAGGTATAATAATTGTAAAGTAATTAAAGCAATATTCACGATATGCCACTGGACAATCATGAAATAACTGACTAATAGCAACGGTGATATCACTGTCAAATAAGGTTTTTCGAGTCCTAGTATACATTCTCGAACTCGATAAGTTATTAATTCTAAAATTCGATTACTCCAAATTCAAATTTTATTATTATGAGTTAAAAAATACAAATCCAATTGAATAACATACTTTTGCATGACTTCAACTGCATTTTTTTAATTTAACATTGAAAAATTCTAAACAAAAACTTTAAATTTACGTAAAAGTATGTCTTAACCAATTATTGAAGACACATTTTTATTTATCAGTAGTGTGTTGTGAATATTATAAAAGTTTATCGAAAAAATTAAGCGTTCAAATACTTAAAATTAACTTTTTAATTGGCATATTTTACTGAAGCAAGCTTCAAACATTCATTTTTTTTAATAGATAAATTATGGACAAGTTAATCGTTATTACATCAGATCAATTTCGGTTTCTTTTAATACCCTTCTCGCGTGTTTACCGATAGAGCTGACTAAGGACATATCCTGTATATTCATCTGACGTGACAGTTTTCTATTGTGATGTTGTCGATGACTATTCTTCTAGTATGATATTTTCTTACTATCGTAAGCCTCAACATTCTGAAACCTGGCCAGAATCGAATAAATTTTCGTGAGATATACCATGAGAATATCACGCTGTCGTTCAACATTGCTGCTCTTGCTCTATGAGCGTTTTGCAATCAGAAGAATTCAATTTCGTGGCAAATTCTTCCTCAGTGTTGTAATCGCCTTTCTCTGTATAAAGTAAACTATTCAAAATTACTGTTCTAAAGGTAGAAATTTCGTTGTGTTAACTTATAAATGCTGCTTGATCTCATGATAAGGTAGAGTTTTGCATAATAACTTGGTTATCGTTGATACGACCTTTCTATTACAATATGATAAAATATGTACAGTAGAGCCACGAAAACTCGGCACTCGATAACCCGGCACTCCAGATAACTCGGCCACACCCTAGCAGGGCAAAAAAATCCTTAGTTAATTAATTTTCATGATAAAGACAGCTTTATGCCTCATAAAGTATTTTTCTGAGGTCTGTCTTATCAGGTAAATTACTGTACACAGTGTATTCATTAATTTTCATTTTCATGTAGTAAAGGCTCTATGCCTTCATAAAAGACGTACTTATCCTTTGTTTAAGGGTATTTGTGCAGTTTATTCTCTGTTGTCTTCTCTAGTAAACAATACATATAAGTACAGTACAGTATTTTCTGAGGAAACACTCATACTTATTTTTTTTTAACCCCATTCCCGATAACCCAGCATTTTCACAAACTCGGCCACCCTTCCGTCCACATTAGGCCGAGTTTTCGAGGCTATACTGTATTAACTACCGATGATATATGACCAATTCTTGAATAATTAATCTAAAGAATGTATAACTGTATTTATTACTAATTATTTTAATTCCTTTTAAATACATACAGGGTGCCCACTTAAACGTCTATCCGTGGCAAGAGATCTTTCCGATAATGGTTAAAGTAGATGAGGTCGTGAACTGTATCGGACACACATTAACATGATATTACGGTGTCGTGGTACGCATCTGTTCCGCTGCTATATGCAACTAGAAAAACATGCAGAGCATTCGAGTGTGAAACGTGATAATATTTTTACGACGTGATGACCTACAACTTTTTCGGCAATTTTTATCGACTGATGAGGCACTATTTTCCCGAATAAACTTCACAATGTGCATCAATGGGCAGAGCTCGCTTCATGAAGCACACGACATACGAAACAAAAAAGCACGTTTTACTTTAAATTTATAGTGTAATATTTTGTGGGTCTTCATTTTTACCCATATTCGTTGATGGCATCCCGAATAGAGAATATCATATATTGTAAATGATATTTTGACTTTTTAAAAGTAGCTAATACACTGCTGTACAGTAAATATACTACACTAAAACCTGTACAGCAAAAGAAGAAACGGTGACTTAAACTTTCTGAAAAGATAACTAGAAATAACTAATACTAAAATTTCGAATAAAACTTATTCATTAAATTTGTTTATAGTTTGTTGACATTCTTTGAGAGCAATATTGTAATATTAATTCAGTCACTCATCTTTGAAAGATCGACCACGTGCTGCGTTGCCTTGTTGCTGTTGAATTGTTGAGATAAGCTCTTATCAATCCAATAGAAAAATAACATCGATAACAACTATGTTTTATACATATTAAAATTAAAAAACACAATTAATAATTTATATTTTTCAGAAAAATTCATCAAACTGCGATTTCAAAAATAATCTTATTTTTTTAAATAAAAGCACTCCATGTGAAATGCATCTGGGAATCCGTTTAAATTCAACCGTAAGGAATGGTACGCAGGTAAGTCCTTCCAAATGTAATAATAATGTCGCGCCAGTTTCGGAGGAGACTAGCACCATTGTGCGGAGAGTGGCGGAACAAGAAAGAACGATTCAAAAAAAGAGAGAACGCTTCAAAAAAAGAAGGAAGAACAATTGAGTAGAAAAAGGAGAATTCGAAAAAAAAGAACGTTGGAGATGTTTTTCTTTTAACGAGAGATATAAGGTTTTTGTTGTTAGTGTTGTTAGCATATCTAAAAAGTGTCAGTTCGGTAAACTGTATTCTGAATTTATATCCCGAGCCCCACAGCTCGTAACAAATTGGTGTCAGGAGTGCGATATAAATCATTCCGGTTATGCCGAAAGAAGACACTGAAAGGGTTTGTACACGAAGCCAACAGCGACAGCAGGCGATGGATCAGCGGCGTTTTAGTGAATTTTCTGATCGGACATTAGATGGTCAGCAAACAACTGACTCTGTTTTAACTGCTCCTCTGGCGCTACTCCAACACTGGCTACGCTGGACCTATCTGTATTGTTGGCGCCGTTACAAGAGCAGACCAGTCAGTTGAAAAATATAAAAGAAGAGCTCCAGCAAGGCCAAAAAGAATAGGCACGTCAAATGAAAGAAGAGCTCCAACGTGGCCAGGAAGAGCAGGCACGTCAACTGAAGGAACTGCATGTTACGATTGGCAGCGATTTAAAGGTAATCAAGGAGCAGGTTGAGCATAATGAAGAGCAGGTCCAACGGCATGAGAATCGAATTGCCAAAGTTGAAGTGAAGATCACAGATGTTGAGAAAGCTTTGGTCGAGCTCATATCTGAGATTGGGAATGCCAATCCCGTTATATCTACGCCAGCAGTACGTGGATTTAAAGTACCACTTTTCGACAGGACATCTTCATGGTCAGCTTATAAAATTCAGTTTGAAGCCGTGGTGAGGACGAATGGATAAACTAAAGCACAGGCCATGACAGCACTCACATTGGTCCTCCATGATCAGGCCTTGACTGTACTAGAGGCCCTCAGTAAGGACATCACTTACGACCAACTGGTGGAGGCATTGGAGTCCAGATATGGGGACAAGCATCTTGAGCACGTGTATCGGGCGCAGCTTAAGGACCGTGCGCAACGTAGTGCTGAGACTCTACAGTGCTGGGCACTGGAAGTTAAAAAGCTGGTCTGAAAAGCGTATCAGTCTTCACCTGCATTGGTTGAAGGACTACTCGTACAAGCGTTCATAGATGGAATACGAGATCTAGAAGTTCGAGCCGCGATTAGATTGGGACATCATGAAACTCTGAAGGACACTTTGACCCATGCTTTGGAGGTGGAGGTAGTAAGACGCGATGATCGATCCCATCATGTTAGGGAAATTGTAACGACAGGTTCCCAGTGTTACTACTATAGAGAAAGGGGCCACCTGCAGATGAATTGTCCAAAGCGAGGACACCTTGGGAGAGACTGAAAGGAGGATGAACTTCAGAAGGTAGAGGCGACTGATACCACCACACAGCTGCAATGGCAGCAGGGAAACGAGTAAACACCAGGACTGCGGGGCAGGTGCTGGCTGGTTTCGAGGGAGCCCCAGGAATCTCAATCTCCCAAGCCCACAATGGGAATAGCCTGATTATCCAAGGTGAAATTAACGGAACACCATGTAAGCTGACATTGGACACTGGAGCTTCTCGTTCTCGCACGGTCATCAGTTCTCGACTGGCAAATCAGTTTCTTGGGGATTACTTCAGTGGATATGATCGTATTCGAGTTATAACAGCGACTGGTCAGCACATATCTGTCCGAGGCGAAAAGGAGGTGGAAGTGCAACTAGGCAACAAGATTTATCGGCATAAGGTTATCATTGCCGATATAAAGGACGATTGCATTCTGGGCTTGGACTTCATGAGAGAACATCATTGTGAGATTGATGTCGAGCAGGGAGTTTTAAAATGCGGTTCGGCAGAACTCTTTATGGAAGGTGCATCATCGGGTGAAGCACGCTGCTTGAATCAGATTGTTCTTCCCCCCAAGGTCAGAAACTATCGTACCAGTTAGACTACCAGATAACGCTGGTCAGAAGAATCGGTGTGTTCTCATAGAGGGTTTAGACTGTGGCCTACCAAGGAAGATGGCGCGAACCTTGGTGAGGGCCACAGACATTTCGGCAGTACGTGTTCTAAATCCAGGTGATAGAGAACAGGTTGTTGGAAAAGGCAGTTTAATGGGCACCTGTGAAGAAGTTGCTTGGATGTGTAAATGCCAAGAACAATCTATTGCGACCAACATGAAACATTCCGTGTTGAATGTGTCAACGCTTCTGGAGGAATGCCATAAGGATTTGTCGGAAGAGGAACTAAACAAAGCTAAAAAGATGTTGCTTCGATATGCCGACATTTTCTCGTCAAGCGACGCCGATATAGGGAAGACAGGATTGGTTCAGCACAAAATAAATACAGGAAATGAGTTACCGATCCGTCAGCGACCGAGAAGGCTACCGATGGCACGTGAACAAGAGGTGGATGCCATGATTCAGGGAATGGTAAGGAATGGCATTATAGAGTCCTCATCTAGCCCATGGTGTTCACCTGTGGTCCTGGTAAAGAAAAAAGATGGCAGCATGCGTTTCTGTGTGGACTATCGTCGACTAAACAATGTTACGAAGAAGGACAGTTATCTACTGCCAAGGATCGATGACACATTGGATATGCTGACAGGAATGAAGTGGTTTACTATTCTAGACTTAAAAAGTGGCTACTGGCAGGTGGAAATAGACCCTAGAGACAAAGAGAAGACTGCATTTTCCACAGAAAAGGGTTTGTGGCAATTCAAGGTGGCACAGCTGGGGCATTGCACAGCCCTTTGGGCTGTGCAATGCCCCAGCTACTTTCGAAAGACTTATGGAGCTAGCACTCACTGGATTGAGTGGGGACGCCTGTCTTGTCGATTTGGATGACATAATTATCGTGGGCAGCACATTTGAGGATCATCTTCGAAACCTGGAACAAGTGTTATTGAAAATACGAGAGGCTAATCCCAAATTGAGCCCGAAAAATGCGCCTTCTTTAGACGGCAAGTTAAATTCTTGGGGCATGTTGTCTCGGAAAAGGGGGTGCAGACAGACCCGGATAAAATCGTCGCCGTAAAAGATTGGCCAGTTCCAAAAGACAAGACAGGAGTTAGAGCATTCTTGGGCTTATGCTCCTACTATCGTCGGTTTGTGAAGGATTTTGCTGATATTGCCAAACCACTGTATAAACTTACGGAAGAGAAGACACGATTCTGCTGGGACAAGGGTTGTGATATTGCATTCCAGGAATTAAAGGAGCGTCTGTGCAACACGCCAATTTTGGGCTACCCTGACACTGGAAATGACTTTGTATTTGACACAGATGCGAGTAACACGAGGATCGGCGGGGTTTTGTCTCAACGAAAAGGAGATCAAGAATTGGTTATAGCCTACTTCAGCAAAGTCTTATCCAAACCGGAAAGGAATTACTGCGTGACAAGAAGGGAATTACTTGCCGTAGTTAAAACCTTGCAACATTTTAGCAACTACTTGCTTGGACGAAGATTCCGCTTGTGTACAGACCATGCTGCATTGAAGTGGCTTTTGCATTTTAAGAATCCAGAAGGACAAGTAGCAAGGTGGATAGAGCTGCTACAGGAGTATGACTTCGTGATTGAACATCGTAAAGGGAAAATGCATGGTAATGCTGAAGCCTTGTCGAGAAGGCCTTGTGCGGATAACTGTATGCACTGTGTCAGACAAGAGACTAAAGAAATTGTTCCTATGCAAATGCTGAAAATGGATATCAGTAACGAGTGGAAGGAAACCTTAAAACAGGCCCAGGAAAAGGACGCGCACATTAAGCCGATCCTTGAGTGGTTGAAGGCTGATGCTCCTAGGCCTAACTGGAGCGATGTTGCAGCTATGAGTCCAGTTACAAAGAGCTATTGGGCACAATGGGACAGCTTGACCATACAGGACGGGATATTGTGTCGTAAGTGGGAAAATACCCGAGGGGACAGCTACCATCTGCAAATGGTTGTTCTCAAAGGAAAAGTTCCAGAGGTTCTAAAACTGTACCACGACGGCTGCTCTGGAGGTCATATGGGGGTGAAGAAAACCTTACTGAAAATCCGCGAGAGATTTTATTGGATTTACTGTCGTGATGATGTGGAAAAATGGTGTCGCAGATGTACCAGTTGCGCAGCCGTGAAGGGACCTCAAACTCTCAGTAGAAGTGCGTTAAGGGTGTACAATGTTGGAGCCCCATGGGAACGAATAGCGTTAGATGTTGCGGGACCGTTTCCTGAAAGTGAAAATAGAAACCGGTACTTCATGGTTGTCATGGACTACTTTACTAAATGGCCAGAGGTTTTTCGCCATTCCCAACCAAGAAGCTGTAACTGTGGCCGATAAATTAGTCCACAAAGTATTCTGTCGGTTTGGAGTACCCTTAGAGATTCACAGTGATCAAGGCAGGAATTTCGAGTCCCAAATATTTCGGGAGACATGCCGTGTGATGGGTACCCACAAAACCAGAACCACCTCGTATCATCCACAATCCGACGGGATGGTGGAACGATTTAATCAGACGTTGGAAAGGTACCTGGCAAAAGTCATAGAGACTCGGCAACGAGACTGGGACAAACACATTCAACCATTTTTGTTGGCATACCGAAGCGCGGTCCATGAAAGTACGTCTGTGACGCCAGCCTTTGCAAACTTTGGAAGAGAACTACGATTGCCCGCAGATTTAATTACCGGTACCCCGCCTGATAGTCCACGTAGCATGACTGACTATGCGGACGATTTACGTCATAAGATGAATGACGTATATGACCACATCCGACAGTCCAGCCAACAAATGTCTGAAAGGATGAAGACCCGATATGACCGGAAGGCGAACAATCAAGGCTTCGAAGAGGGTTCCTTAGTGTGGTTACATAATCCTGTGCGCAGCAAGGGAAAGTCCCCTAAATTACAGCCGAAGTGGGACGGGCCATATCGTGTCGTGACTAGAATCAACGATGTCACCTACCGAATACAGAAGAGGTCGAGAACTGCACCCAAGATTGTTCATGTGGATCGTTTGGCGCGGTACTATGGGTGTAATGATGCTCGGGACGAGCATGCCTTAAGAGGAGGGCAGTGTCGCGCCGGCTTCGGAGGAGACTAGCACTATGGTGCGGAGAGTGGCGGAACAAGAAAGAATGATTCAAAAAAAAAGAGAGAACGATTCAAAAAAAGAAGGAAGAACAATTGAGTAAAAAAAGGAGAATTCGAAAAAAAAGAACGTTGAAGATGTTTTTCTTTTAACGACAGATATAAGGTTTTTGTTGTTAGTGTTGTTAGCATATCTAAAAAGAGTCAGTTCCGTAAACTGTATTCTGAATTTATATCCCGAGCCCCACAGCTCGTAACAATAATAATACACAAAAACTTTATAAAAATATTTAGCACAGGATAAAAGAAAATATATTTGGTTTTTTTTAACTATTCTTGTCTTACTGAATCTAAGAGGGTCTTTTCAAACCTATTGTGAAACCAACGATTTGGCCAGACACACTATATGTAGGCCGGGCGTAGAGGTCTGGGAAGAAAGATATTTCTGATACTTTAAAATTTCCTGGGGAATTTTGACTGCTTGAATCTGATTCCGGGTTCACCAGACGAAGGGCTGACACCCTGACGCTTTTGCTTCCACGGACAATTCGTCGTTCTTTATCACTTACTAAAAAAAATAATAATTTTCAAAATTTACTTTTATGGATTAAATTAAATTTAAAATGTATTTATATAATTAAATGGCTATTGAAATTAATTTCAATCTTAAGATATTTAATTTGCACGAGAAAATAAAATTGAATTTTACATAATTAGATTAAAGGAAACATTATCCAAGATGGTTTTCATCTTACTGCAATTGTAATAAATTGTACTATAATAAAAATGAATATTAATTATACTTTCTTAAACTATAATTCGATTGACGTCACTTTGACTATTTATTCCGATGACAATGTCGCAGCCACGAAGGTAATTATTCATATTGCCGTCAATAGGTGCTATGTGTGATGAAGTTCAGAGCGCGATTGATGAGCGGAATCCCAACCGAATCTAAATCTGTCTTGGAGAGACCACACTTAAAAATTTTGATTTCGAGTTTGCAGTGCGCTTGATTGACATCTTAACAACTTTATCAGATCATCTTCTGTATATTGCAATAGACTAAAAATGTGTATTGATTTGTGTGGGACAGATGACAAAGATAAATATCTTTTCATTAGGACTTCGGTAGGAATTGAGTACACAACATAAAATTTATTTTTATTATTTTCGAAAAATCTGATCAAAATTTCAAGGCGATTTTTAAGAGCAACATTTTGCCAACCGTGTATACGTAGTCTAACGAGTTCAATGATCATGTAAAACTATGACTGTTGAAAACGTCACTTATTCGCCATTTAGTGGTCGAATAGATAAAATCATTGAATATTCGTAGTTTGTCATGGATTCTCGTCTCAACAGCGGGTTGCCTGATGCAGTTTCCGGGTTCATTCGCATGATTAACACCTAAAAAGTGACCACTTTCTTATGGAATCTTCTCGGGAAGTATTCCCATTGGCAGATGGCCCACGTGTTCCGTTGCTTATCGCACTTCATCATATTGAATTCATATATTCGTGCTATTGTTATTTTTATATAGTTTTAATTTAAAAAGTACTTTCTCAACATGGACATTGACAGTATAGTCATAAATTAATAACTTCAGTTAATCAAATTGGAGACTTAGTAATACAAATATTACATATATTAACAATTTCGACAAGAAAATATATGTATTTTTTATTTACTTAGGATTGGAGGCAAGACAATACATTAGAATGCAAACCTCTGTCCATCATGCTTCAAATTCCTCAATACGTATTGCTGTCAATTGGAGAGATAGTACATGCCATTAGTCTTATAGAATTTGCATATAACGAAGTAATTCTTTTAAGTGTTTTTAATTTAAAATTTCGATCAATATACAATTAACCTAATCCAACATTTCTGTTACTAAAGGCTCCCGAAAATATGAAATCTACTGTTCAAGCTTTTCTTTTCCTGAATGCGGCGTTTGCAAATTTCATAATTCTCATTATTCAGCAATTAAAATTTTTAACTGAAGAGGTAAGTCTTTATTTATTTCTATTATTATTATTATTATAAACGTATAAATATTATGAAGAAGGAACATTTAAAAAATATCATAAGAGTAAATGTAGATCCTTTTAATGACGATTTAAGTTATATTTTCGTGAATGTGCGATATTTTTACTTTGTAATACTGTTGTAATAAACTAATATTTATTTTTCTAGTCTTACAAATTATTTTTTTATTTCGGCCTGGGGATTTTGGATATTACTGTTCTAATAGTTTTGTCATACAACTATAAATACAGAAATGACGTTATAGGATTTGAATCTCCGTCAACAAAGATAAGACGAATGCCATAGAAACGAACAATGTCTTTTAAATAACAAGCTATTCTCTATTGTAATATTTGTGTAAAGATATAAATTTTATATCTTATAAGTACAGCACATACAGGAAAGAAAAAATTATTTATAGAATTTCACTGATGTATTTATTTTCATTTATATACAAGGATATATACTCACTTTACATCTGAAATAAATTACTTGATATTTAAGTTGAAATTTCTATTTATTTTTTCTTCAATCGAATTTTGATTTGTCGTCATCTTGTCATCATTTGTTTTAGGTATTTCACAAAAGTAATCCTAATGTATACGAACCTTAACATAAACGATTATCTTTCACGGTATTATTAAACACTTCTAACAATACTACGAATTGTTCAAATAAAAGTATTGTTTTGAATGCGCGACAGCATTGAATCTATCATGTTAAAATACATATTATTTCTGTTAAAAATAACGATTGAATTATCGCGTATAAAATTACTGCACACGAACATTGTGTATTTAATCACGATAAAATTTTCAGTGAAATGTTTCAGAACAATAATCACAGAATAAATAAAGAAGCCGTATGGATTTAACAATGTTATATATTGTGTTAGTGTCATTGAAAATTATTGTTTAATAAATGCTATTGTAATGTATAATAAGTAATATTTTTCATGAAATTTTACATATCGTAATTTGTTTCCTTATTCTTTCTTACATATAACAGAGAAATAATACTAACTTGTAAGTAAAATTAATATTTATTCCAAATTATTAATAGATATTAGTAAAGAATTAATGCTTTTTTAAATACTTTGTCCATTGAGCAGAAGTAAGGGGTCAATAAAACTAATATAACATTAGTAAAGAATTAGACCATATGCACAAAACTGTAGAAAAATAATGCGCTATTAGTAAAATATTGAAATGTTTATTAATAAAATATCATAACAGGTGGCGCCACACACGCAGTTGTAAAATTTGTTGGGGGGGAGGTTAAGCAATTCGATGCTGGATTTTTAAATAATGAGTTTCATGAAATAAAAATTGTATTTTAAATAAATTTAGTTATTTAAAGGGGCGGTCGACTTCAATCTGGAGACGATAAACTGTATATTTAATACTGTTAAAAAAACCTACGAGATGTCGACACTATCGCCTTGTAGAACAAATTACGACTACATTAAATTAACATTTCAGCAGTGAAGTAGAAACGTGGGGAAATTTTTAAGAATTTTCCCACGCGTTTTCTCGTTTCCCTTGCGGAAAAAAAATTTTGTAAACAAAAAAAGTCTAGTTCACAGTTACGTCTAGTTCACAAATCACAATCCTATATACTGTTTAAACAGTATATATACATACGTATGCTTATACATACATTTTTTGGGAATCATCATTTCCCTGATGGGGATCAGTCTTCCCCACACTGCTTTCGCATAACGGGGCTTAGATACAATGTTCTTTACAATGACTTATACTTTAAATACAATTATTCAAAACATTAAAAAAAACAAATTATAAACTACTGAGTAACTCGCTCAGGAAAATTAATTACAATTTAACCCGAGCTACTTTGCTTTGTATGATCTACCTAAAAAAGGTAACATGCTGCCTATACGTCTGTTCGTTCCTGATTAATTGGTACACACCACAGGGCCAGCGTAACCCTTCTTCCAATACAACCATTTCGAGATAATGTCTTTCAGATGTCCATTCCAAGCAATCATAAATAAAATGGTCCAATGTCTCCATCTCCACATACACATTTATTTTGTTCATCCAAATGAAACCTGCTCCTATATTCTCCGAGCCATCATGTCGCGAAAGACAAATCATAAGTTCACGCTCTCTCCCAAACCACTTAAGATGGGAGTTTTTTTTTTTAACTCTTTCCGCCCTGTCGGCACTAAGAGGGCCTCTTACAGTAGGCCCATTATGGGTTCGGCCAGGCCCACAATGGGGCGACTGGGTGGTGAGGGACAGGGCCCGACATATCCGAACGGACCAACCTCGAAAAATTCCTGGGGATTCCTTGACCTGTCCGAATTCGATCCCGGGTCCCCCAGAGCGGTAGGCTGCCACCTTGACCGCTCGGCCATCCGGCCGCATATTTAGGATTTAATTATTTCAGTCGAAGCGGTAGGCTGCCACCTTGACCGCTCGGCCATCCGGCCAAAGATGGGAGAGTCTTTCATCAATATTTGGGATTAAGTCGAAGATTTTCCTCCTTTTTATACTATTTGTCCAAGTCTGTTGTCATTTCTCCATAATTTTACTTTTTAGTGCCTTCTTTCCCCAGGACTGTGGAATTGTGTTAAAGTTGATTTTTATTTCTTATAATTTACAAATATTTTAATTTATACTATTATGTTTCTGATGTAAAATTTATTATAATACAATTATATTCAGTATCATAGTTAACTTTCTTCTATTCCTTGCCGACTCTCTGGTTTCAGAACTATGATTTTACCAACCAAGCCATTTTTTTGGAATGCATGCTCTGCATTAGTTGGCAAAGGATGCCTCTAATTTGTAAGGAATCTCTATTTGTAAAGATTTCTCTCAAACAAAAATAATTTGATAAATTTTAATAATGTTTGTTTTTAATGTTTAAATTTCCTATACAATTTATTTTGTAAATTATATAAAATAGAATTATTGTAATTCTGGAAACCTAACATAATAAAATCAAACATCTATCTAGTAAACTTGTCTTTAAAGCATATAAAACTTAGTAACATAATAGCGACAAATCACAAAACAAAACTGCTTACTTAAGGTTGCTAAAAATGATTTATTTTGAAACACATTTGGCCATAAGCAAATAGTTGTTTCTTGATTATCAGTACATTAGTGAATATTTTGATAAACTTCATGAAAATTATATTTTGTTAATCATAAATAAAATTAACTTCCATAGTTATTTCAAGTTTCAGTAATTGAATTCAAAATGTGTTAACAACAACAAGTGAAATAATTGAATAAAGTTTTTGCAAAATCATTTTTTATGATTTTGCAAAAACTTCATTCATTTTATGATTGAGTTATTCATGAAACTTATAAATGACTAAGATTAATTTAAGAATATTACTATGTTATTTATACTTAGTTGGAAAAAAAATTACAACAATTTCTCAAAACAAATATTTACAAATAATGATAACAACTTTCAATAAAAAATAAAGTTTTATTTAATATTTAATAAAATAAAAAAATTGCTTTTTTTAGAAAACCAAAAATATTTATTTTGAAACTTTTACAGCGTCACTTTAAGGCCTTTATTACTATTAATTTAACTGTTTTATTAAATTCATTCAATTTTTATGCTTACTAACAAAAAATAGATTAGCACACACCCAATAAAACAGAATTACACAAAACTAAATAAAGCGCGCACAGTAAATATTTAAATTTTACTAACAAGTAAGAGTTTAAATATGAACATGTTTAATAATGATATATATCATTAATTGCTAAAATATATATACTGTATATATTTAGCAATTAATTGATAAATTAAGCCGTACAATCTGTTGGATTTTTAAGGCTATAACATGATTAACAGGGTCAGCACTACCATATGGGCAAACTGGGCATTTTCCCAGGGCAGCAAATTTTCATAAATTTATATAAAATTTTCAAGTTTAGTATTTTTTTAAATATTNCGCTTTGTAAAGAAACATACATAAAAATAACTTAAAATATTCTTTACTTTATAAATCTTAAAACAATGCACTTAGTCAAATAGCTCCATACGAATGGGTAATGAATGGAATCGAAGACGGTTGCGGAGCGTGCATACACGCGGACTGCCAAATTCCCAGAGTGCCAATACCGGTCAATGTCAAATATCTCTTTTGTCGCATCATTAGTATATGTCAAAAAAACGCTACAGGGCTGTTGTAGATTTTAAACGTTTCTCACCATAACTGTAAAAATCTAAATACAGTATGTTAAACTTAATAGTCATTTGTTTTCTAACTAATTCGTTTTAGGACCAGGTGTTGTCCACGGAAATTTCCAAAATTTACAACTTTTCGGTCACTCTCGTTGAACTGGAAAAATTACTGTCTTTATTACATCTAATACAGTATTTCGAAGAAATCAGTCCCCAATGTGGTCAGCTATAGATTGAATTAAATACTACTTTGAAATCTACTTTTTTATATTTTACACAATAAAAAAATATAACATTGTATTTGTCATATTATAATTATAGTATTTCCTTCGTGTTGAAAAATTACTTCTATTGTATTTTTTCAAAAAAATGAAAATAAAGATAACGCTTACAATCATATAGGATAGTGTTGTTGGAATAAAGCACGCGACACTTGGGCGATCTGTCCAGGAGGTGCTTCAGCGAGGAGGGAAATTGGCCCCTGTCTAAGTGTTATACACTTGAAAATGCCTGGAAAACTCTAACTATTACTATTAAGTGGTTTTGTTTACTCTGTCACAACTCACAAGATGCAACGTTTATTGTATTACTCCTTTCCTGCCATTCTGAACTTGCGACGTATCGCTAGGAGATGTTTTTGAAAAAATACTTTAGAATAATTCAGAACAAAAAGACTGCCACAAGAATATTGTATTACTTAAAATCAGCGGCAGCATCACTTGACCAATATATCAAAATTTAGTATATTAATAAAAAGAAATTTTCTGTAAAAAGATTTTACAGAAGAATATTAATAAAAAGGTAAAGTCAAAGCAAAATTCACCAACAGCCTAGATCAGCGGTCGGCAACCTCTGGTCCGTGGACCATTGAAGGTTCGCGAGAAAATTTGGGTGGTCCGTGGAAAAATTTGGAAATTGATCAACTGAAAGTTACGCTAAGTATTACGAAAGAAATGCAAAATGCTTAATTGCTTTCTTCACTCATTGGGGGTTTTTATTCGAATCTAAATCCAAATACGAAATGACTGTTATCAATAAATAATGAATAATAGACAATATTGTGAGTGCGGATGTCTTCCTTTGTGGAAAGCGCTAAGAATTCATAAATTTATTTCAAACAAGCAGCAATGAACTGTAGTCTTGCATTAATTTGTTATAATTAAACAAGCGAGTTTCATATTAATATAGTAAAATTGTACTTTTATGATTATTATTCTCCAGATTTTGTATCGTTTAAAAAAGTTAATGATAGTGGTCCGCGGGATTCAAACTTGTGAGTCTAGTGGTCCGTGAGGTCATAAAGGTTGACGACCGCTGGCCTAGATGACTTGACAGCGCTCCTCCATAATCAAACAATTTTATAGAATACATTGTTATTAGTGAACTTAATTGGATCAAACATGGCGATAGAGATTGGGCTCGTTGACTGGTAAAATACTTTTAATACAAACGGAAAAGTGTAAAGCGAAATTTATGAATCTATATTTATCGTCATCATATAATGTAATTATTACAAATTGCAAAAGTTTTATATTCGAATATTTAGATAGAGACTTCTTTCATTCTTTGTCCCAAAATGGCATGACCTCCTATGATGCACGAGATTGAAAAGAGGTGGAATTCAGACCATGCATGAAGTTTAGTTGTTTCTCCAATGAAAAAGTCCTTATTTCTGGGCTGATAGATCTATTTTGCCCCACTGCAAAGCAATTTATAACATTCGTCAGTTTTGCTTTCGTCATCGAATGAGGACTAGGCATTTTGCCACAATTCAATTGTAATTGAAATGTGGAAATTTCAGAGGAATTTCAACAGTTGTGAGAAAAATGACTGTACAAATAATTCTCTATGAATCAAACTACGAGTATTGAAAAAGACAAACATGGTTTGAGACTTTGTTTTGTGGACGTTAATTTTAATGATCATAGTTTACGTGGGACAATTCAATTACGTGGGACACCGTGTTTCGTCACTTCTAACAATTTTCTTGATATAGACTTACAGCCTGTTATGCCGACGACTAATTCGGAAGCTCCCATGTATCTGATTATGCTCAGATAAAGCAAAAACCTCGAACATAATTTTCGTTTTTGTAACTTTTCCGAAAGAACGGTGTGTGCATGTTTACCGACACTTCATATCTTTTGCTATAATTCGGCATGTCATACGACGATCTCTAACCAGAAAAAAAGAAACGTTCTGTTTTCATGAATCCATCAAAAACATTCAAACAACCGTGTATAACCTGGCATCTCGTATTGGTAGGCTTGTTTCAAATGCTGCAAGATTTCTTTTGAAGTTTACCTAAATTTAAAATAAAACATAGTGGTTTCACATTAATCCATTACAAGAATTTTGAGGGAGAAAAATCACATTAGCGCTTTATTCCAAGACTGCTACACTCATTAGTACTTTTATTGCGAGACGAAAACTTTCATACACTGAACATGGGTAAAAAATAATAAGAAATAAATATATATATATTCAATTTTTTAACTTTGTTATTTCTTCTGTCCAAAACAAAAATCAATATGATTACTGTTCTATTTTTAATAACCGACTAACCCACTTATTACAAAAGATTAATATATTATAGATAACCTTGCAGTTTATCGTTAGCGAGAAAAACTTGTACTAGATAAAATAAGATTAAATTTTTCTATTGTAATTCTATAAATACATAAAACAATAAAACAGTAGCTATTGTAGAACACGAATATAGTTGTCTAATATTTTATTTATTTATTATATTTATATTATTATAATATTTTATTAAATTTACCAATTTAATATCAATAATTAATTGTTATTTAAATTTATAGTGTATAAGCAATTAAATGACGTCACTATACAGCACATAAATAATTAATTTCTAATTACTTTTATGTCTTATATTCGCCGTTATAAGAGCATTTTAAACATTTCGGAAGGCAAATAATATTATGCTTTTTTATAATTAAGTAATCAAAGTACATTCGTGAAAATATATGTCCTCAGAACAGAAGATAACGGCAATTATATTAACTTTTTTGTGATAAGATAAATAACTGAATTTAAAATAGCGTTTTTATTGATTTCAGCTATCATTTGAATAAAACTTTCACACTCGATAAATGATATAAAGCACGAAAACACTTTTTATTTCGAATGATGACATCGTTCAGCGATGAAAATGTGGATAAAAGTACTTCAATATTTTGGTATTTTTAATCTATTTATATTTTTATTTAACCTGAACTTTTTTGTAGCTACTCCGTTACTTTCTTCTCAAAGAATTTCTTCAGTTCGAGTAAGTATAAAACAAAATAGAAGTTTTTACCAGTTATTTCATTCTATGTAATTGTANACTAGATATAATATTTTATTAAATTTAACAATTCAATATCAATGATTAATTGTTATTTAAATTTATAGTGTATAAGCAATTAAATTACGTAACTATACAGCCAATAAATAATTAATTTCTAATTACTTTTATGTCTTATATTCGCCGTTATAAGAGCATTTTAAACATTTCGGAAGACAAATAATATTATGCTTTTTTATAATTAAGTAATTAATATACATTCGTGAAAAATATGTCATCAGAACAGAAGATAACGGCAAATATATTATATTTTTTGCGATAAGATAAATAACTGAATTTAAAATAGCGTTTTTATTGATTTCAGCAATCATTTGAATAAAACTTTCACACTCGATAAATGATATAAAGCACGAAAACACTTTTTATTTGGAATGATGACATCGTTCAGCGATGAAACTGTGGATAAAAGTACATCAATATTTTGGTATTTTCAACCCATTTATATTTTTATTTAACCTGAACTTTTTTGTAGCTACTCCGTTACTTTCTTCTCAAAGAATTTCTTCAGTTCGAGTAAGTATAAAACAAAATAGAAGTTTTTACCAGTTATTTCATTTTATGTGTAATTGTTTTATTTATTTAACGAAAATAACTTAAAAATTGCCATTTGATCCGTAAAAATATTCTGAATTATTTATTCAAATATATATTTTTTTCAGGAAAAGCTTCCATATCCAAAGGCCGCATTGTTCATTTTGCTGCTTCCATTTGGAATTTACTTTTTCTACGTTTCATTATTAAGTAAGTTATTTTATCGATTTTATTACGTTATAAAATTGCGGTGAAAGTAACAAATTTTGTCGAATTTATTAACCATTTTTATAAAACACAATACAGCATCGTGTTTAAAAACATAAATAATGCTAGTTGCGTTAGTAATAACTAGCTTATAAAAAATTCATTTTTTTTCCATTTATCAAAATTTACTTCCAGAAGAATATTCCAATTAGAATAACTGGAATATTCTTCTGGAAAATTCTTCTGAAATATTCTTCTGGAAAATCGATCTGAAAAAATTAGATTGATGTGAAAACGCAAGACAAAACTTAAGAAATCAGGGAAAATTCATTTCGAAAGGCCTTAACCTGGAAAGTGATTGTATCTAGATGTTATGTACTGAATAAAGCCTGGTGAACTCTACGTCCATTGGTCCGTTTCCAACCCGCGATCATCTACCACAGACAGGTGCAATGTTCTTCAATATTCCAACGACCAATCATACATGAAATGTTAATGAAAAGTAGAAAAAGTAGAATTAAATGTTTAGTGAGTTTTAAACAGGTCATGAACTAAACGGGTAAATGTTTTAGCTACTTTATTGGTATTAGGATTTATGAGTACAAGAAATTAAGTAAACTTGTTTAAAATGACGGCATTGTGGTTGGATTTTATTCAGAGGAAGCAACATGTGTGGAGTGGACCTTTTTCCGTTCAGAGAATACCAAGTAGTAGTTAAATGTAAATTGACTACGTTTAAATTTAAATATGTTTTAAAGTAATAGTGTTTGTATAATTCGAAATTTCTCCGTAGTTAATGACGAAATGCTTGTCTCGAAAACATTAAGCGACACGTAATTTCATGCATTTTAATGGAGGTTAGAAATAATTATATTGCAGAAACAAATAATATTAATTTTAATTTCTTTCGAATATTTTAGACATTCTTATTTTATATCTTACCCAAGAACTTTTGTACGACGATAACGAAGCAACTAATATATATCACATATTTTCTATGGCGACATTTTTTGTAAGCCTGTTAGGTGGAACACTGGCTGACACTGTGATAGGAAAATTCAGGTGAAAATAAAACTTCAATTAGTTAAATTATCAGAAAAATTCATGTGTCTTAAAGCCATTTATAAGATATAATCGAAGTATTAATTGTATATTTTTATTTATAGAACAATAAGTTACATGTTAATTTTAACTTTATTTGGATGCGTAATCCTCACTATGGCTTCTGTCCCAAATTTTCTTCCAATGAGGTAACTTATGAATTTATTTTAATCTGTATTATCGTACTTAAAAATACCAGAAAAGATTTACAATAATTTAAGTTCTTGTCATTCCTGTATGAAAGAAAACATTTTACCATATTTTCATTTAAAATTTGAACTTCTAAGTTATAATATTCGTGTGATATTGTATATTCTTCAATTATCTGTTTCTTCGGTTTAAAAATATATGCAAAATATTAAGAAAATTTATAAAAGCTCAGTTTTATCTTTGTATTTAGATTGACGACTATGGTTAGTTTAGTAGTAATAAGTATTGGAACAGGAGCAGTGCAACCTTGTCTTCGTGTGTTTGGAGGAGATCAGTTTCAAGCAAATCAGGTAATTATTTTTTCATTTATACATTGTTAAATACTAATATACCTCGACATACGATGGTCTTCTTGTCTTGAAGCAGTCCTGGCCAACTTATATTGGAGTATGACTGACCAAGTTAAATGCACCAATGATCTACTTTACATCGTTATTCTTCTATAACAGCATAATAATTTTATTAAAAGTATACTACAGAACATAATTATACTTATTTATTATGTAGTAATTAACATTAGAGAACATCTCTCTTTGGTAAATGCACTAAAAACATAAATCAAACAACACCATTTCTATTTCATTGTAATAAAAAAGAATTTTTTTTCTTCACAAAAATTGCAAATTTTTTTCTTGTTTAGTTTACTCAGTTTGCACTTAACTGAAATATCTTAAGATACAACTAAACAATTAATAGAATAACAATATAACCTAGCAAAACCCTTTGACACAAAGAGTACCACACTTTATCCTATGAAGAGTAACCTACTTGAATTTTCTTTTTACTACTTGTCCATGGGCAAGTAATTAAAAGAAATTTCTCGGTGAAAGGCATTGGCTGCAACCTTGAAATTGTAGATCTACACATTTTCACTATTGTCTGTCTGCTGTCTGTCCTTCGCGTACCTCGATAACGAAGTTACATGGAATAAAATTCAGACTACTTGAAAAACTTAAGGCCAGAAGCCGCGATTAATATACAAACTTCTAGTCGAGACCAAAAGTCCCGTGATTTTTAAAATTTTAATTAAAATCCTTTGCTATTTAACATGCCATACTTTCAGCAATCGACTTGTTGGCCATCCCCGCCATAAGATTTCTTGCAGGCCTAGACGTTTCGCCAAACAAAAGTGCATATAGTTAAAACCAACAAAGCTGTGTACCGCAGCATTATTCTACTTATAACCTGTATAATTAACATTGATTACTGTTTATAATAATCTTAGATTAAAAATTGGTTACAAAAGTATGGCACTTTTGTAAAACGATCATGTAACCTCTCGTCATCTGACAATGTGTATTCGCTTGCGAATATTACGTTGGACTTCCAATCAAATGAACAAGGCTGTTAAAACTGTCGTAAGTCGAAGTACGTCTACTTATTGCTCATTTCTCTCTATTAATAATACTATTAAATACTCGTGAAATATTCATTTATAATTAAAGATGTCGCAGCAAATAGTTATGCAGGTATGCTTTTAAATAGCATAAAATTCATTTTTCCTTGTACTAATTATTTTACAAATGCATTTAATCTTTCTTAAAATTATTATAAAATAGGTAAAATATTAATTTTGAGGATAGAGATAAATCTTATTTTAAATATATATATATAGCCTATATGCTAATAACGAGAAAAATTGTTATTAAATCTTGCCCTTCTCGAGATACGACACAAAACTCCCGTTTATCTTCCCACTCTTTCGATTTTTAACTACCAAACTTTAATAGCATGATGTGCCATAAATAAACAAACTTCCCTACCAAATTTCTGAAATCTTTAATAAAAGACAGGAGAAATTAAGTCACATAGCGGATGGAAAAATTGTGCCACTCACATACACAACTAAAATTCACACATACAGAGAAAATCATCAAATACAGTATTTTTGCATTTCTTCAATGCTTCAAGATCCACTGAGTCCAATAATTGGGGGGGGGGCATCATTTGACTAATCGCTATCCTTTCCCTCTATTAAATATGCATATATCGCATATAAAATAAGCTGAAAAAGAACATTTAAAGTGCGGTCCAGACTATCAAATAACGTGATGCAGATCTAATATAATAGCAGTATAGCAGACTAATCACTTAGTCCGTTAAAAAAAAAAGACTACGTCCTTGGCTGAATTGAGACCGTCTTATAAGACACTATGCCCGCAGTTTTGCGTAAAGTGTACCTGGATATAATATAAAAAAACCACAAAAATGTACAAATTATAATGTTTTACGTTATATCCACAGTACTTTTTACATACTATCTTAAATAAATTATATATATTTTTTAAATACACAGTTTCGTGCAAGTTATATAAATAAATTGCTTATAGATACTTAAAATTAACTGAATTTTTATTGCATTAATAATTATAATCATTACAGTTTATATATAATTTACAGAAAATAGAATTACGCAGATTTTTTTCTCATTATTCTATTTCCTTGAGATTGGGGATGATGCTATCCATGATCCTAGTCCCTATTTTTAGAGGTAAAGTGTGTATTTTAAGTAATAAAACAAATAAGAATTAAATTATAAGCTTTAGCAGTTTTCTGCGAAAAAATTATTTCCGTTTCGTCAAACATTTTCACCGATTTTTATAGTTTCAATGGTACTGAATACGAATCTGGCAACAGAATTAACTTAACACCCACCACTTTTGAAAGAAATGAGGTTTTTGAAGGAAAACATTTTTGTTCAAAATATCATATTTGTTAGCTAATTGGCTATGTGTTAAATGTATGTTAATTACTCCCGTTTTATAATTCTATACATTTCAAAAGTGAAACATTAAATGATACGTTTTCTTCCTTTTCTATTCTTCTTCTGAAGTCTCTCACTCTGGATTTCAGCAGTAATCTGCTATCACGTTCCCGTTCCCCTTTCGCTATATCACTTTTCAAGGAACATTTTTTACCGTTTCTGATGAAACATTTCTCCATGTCCATCAGAAACGGCTCCTAGGTTAGCGAAAAAAATCTAAATGGGCAAGCAGGAAATTGCATCTTGTGTGAGATATTGCAATCCAATGTTTGTAGAACGTTACCAAATTCTCTACGATTTTCTCATACTTGTTAGCTCGTACATTCCCCAAAAAGCCTTGCTTACGTTCTCGAATTCCTCCACTCTCTTCTTTCCGTTCAGTTACGTTTTTTCCTCTAAACTAAGATTCTTCAAATTCTGTTTTATTATGGGCCAACGGAATTCCCTTTCTCAGATTACAAAACTTTGCTTCAGGAAAGTAAAATCTTCTTTTCTGTTCTTACCTTTCACAATGTTTTTCATCAAAGTGATCTTGATACGAAGAGGAGGTATGANCCTACCAAATTTCTGAAATCTTTAACAAAAGACACGGGAGAAATTAAGCTACATAGCGGATGGAAAAATTGTGCCACCCACATACACACACTAAAATCCACACATAAAAAGAAAATCGTCAAATATTTTTGCATTTCTTCATGCTTGAAGATCCACTGAGTCCAATAATTGGGGAGACATCTTTTGACCGATCGCTATCCTTTCCCTCTATTAAATAAGCTGAGGAAGAACATTTAAAGTGCGGTTCAGACTATCAAAGTCACGTGATGCGGATCTAATATAATATCAGTATAAGCAGACTAATGACTTAGTCCGTTTAAAAAAAAAGACTGGTTACGTCCTTGGCTGAATTGAGACCGTTTTATAAGACATTATGCCCGCAGTTTTGGGTAAAGTGTACCTGGATATGATATTTAAAAAAGAAAAAAATGTACAAATAATAATGTTTTACGTTATATTAACAGTACTTTTTACATACTTTCTTAAATAAATTATATATATATTTTTAAATACACAGTTTCGTGCAAGTTATATAAATAAATTCCTTATAGATACTTAAAATTAACTGAATTTTTATTCCATTAATAATTATAATCATTATAGTTTATATATAATTTACAGAAAATAGAATTACGCAGATTTTTTTCTCATTTTTCCATTTCCTTGAGATTTGGGACGATGCTGTCGATGATCCTAGTGCCTATTTTTAGAGGTAAAAGTGTGTATTTAAGTAATAAAACAAATAACAATTAAATAATAAGCTTTAGCTGTGTTCTGCGAAAAAATTATTTCCGTTTCGTCAAACATTTTCACCGATTTTTGTAGTTTCAATGGTACTGAATACGAATCTGGCAACAGAATTAACCTAACACCCACCACTTTTGAAAGAAGTGAGGTTTTTGAAGGAAAACATTTTTGTTCAAAATATCATATTTGTTAGCTAATTGGCTATGTATTAAATGTATGTTAATTACTCCCGTTTTATAATTTTATACATTTCAAAAGTGAAACATTAAGTAATACGTTTTCTTCCTTTTCTATTCATCTGAAGTCTCTTACTCTGGATTTCAGCAGTAATCTGCTATCCCGTTCCCGTTCCCCTTTCGCTATACCACTTTTCAAGGAACATTTCTTATCGTTTCTGATGAAACATTTCTCCATGTCCATCAGAAACGGCTCCTAATTTAGCGAAAAAAAATCTAAATGGGCAAGCAGGAAATTACATCTTGAGTGAGATATTGCAGTCCAATGTTTGTAGAACGTTTCCAAATTTTCTACGATTTTCTCATACTTGTTAGCTCGTACATTCCCCAAAAAGACTTGCTTACGTTCTCGAATTCCTCCACTCTCTTCTTTCCGTTCAGTTACGTTTTTTCCTCTAAACTAAGATTCTTCAAATTCTGTTTTATTATGGGCCAACGGAATTCCCTTTCTCAGATTACAAAACTTTGCTTCAGGAAAGTAAAATCTTCTTTTCTGTTCTTACCTTTCACAATGTTTTTCATCAAAGTGATCTTGATACGAAGAGGAGGTATGAGGATTTTAGTTTCCCCCAGAGCGGGAAAAGCATTATTCTTCTTACCAAGTATTTATTGAATGGTAAGAACTCCTTGATTGATTGCCTCATTCACATAAAAAACCAGCAGAATTTGGTGTATCCTCTTTAAAGATCTGTTAGCATTGCAACCACTTTGAGATCCTGTAGCTGCTGAAGTTCCTTCAACAAAGTGGTATATCGATGCAAAAAAACGAGATTGTCTTCCATAGAAAAAATTTTAGATTACCTGATTCCGTTTCTCTGTAACAGGAAGCATCACTGCTTGAGACGTAACGCAAGTAGTTGAGCCCTTTTTTTGAAAGATCCAAATCACAAATCAGATCTGACATCTACCACTGACACCTCTAAACCTGATTTAGGAGAATTCATTTCGGATTTCAGATTCATATTCAGCACACTACAATATAATAAAAATATCGCATTATCTTTCACGGGAGGATTTCGATGCAGAACAGTGTAATAATTCTTTTAATTCTACTTAACTTTTTAGTTTTTCCTGTTTTATTTCATTTTTCACAGAGATGATTAATTCTTACTTATTAAGTAGTGATTGTATGCTATTTCCAAGTATATTTATATATATACAAATGTCAGACTAAGTAGTATGTATCATGCACGACAGATAAAGGTTTCTTCTACACCGTTCAAGTATTGGCATCAAGTTTGACACGAATATTCTTTGTTACCCTAGGAAAAACTGTGGGGTCCCACTCCAACTACCCCTAAATACCACACGCTCTTAAGTTAAGCCCGGGCAATTTTTTGTATTTTGCGTTTTATTATTGTAAATATTCGGGTCAACGACTGAAAATTTTATTTATCAACACCACTGTTTTTATCACCCTCACTAAATCCCCACTACCTCAAAAGCTCAAGCAATGCCTGGCACATTCAGAAAATACGATAATAACACTGGAAACTAGCATACAACACTACTCGTTAGTTATTAATTAAACAAACTATTATTCTCTGGAAAAATTAAAATATAATAATAGTAATAATAAATTTTTTCATATTTTTTCATTTAGCTAAGATTCATTGTTTTGAAGAGTCGACGTGCTACCCTTTAGCTTTTGGTTTTAATTTAGTTATACTTACACTTACTTTAGGTAAGTTAATTAATCATATCTTGAGATTAATCTAATTTTTCTTAATTGTAATTAAAAAAAGACGTTGACAGGATTTTCTGTCAAAAGATAAAATACATAAGGTTTAGATTAAAATATTTCAGTAAGTTATACGTTGTTTCTACTAAATATTAGCTAAATACAAGTGTATGATAGTATAGGTAATAGATAGTGGGTTACTAGGCCTTACCTGGCCTGGACTTCCTCTTCCCATGAATCCAAATTCTACCTCCGTGTTTATGAAAAATACTGACACAATATAAATTACAGTTAAGAGCATCTTAAAATTAGTAAAATGCGTTTTTTTGGTCAAAATAGTCAAATAAACACCGTCAAAAATGGGTGGAAAAACTGTGAGGCTTTTCTGCGTGGTTTCATGCACTTAAGGCTGTTTTAACTGTATAAAGAAAGAGATTCTAGGGGCATAATTTATAAGAATATATTTTAAAACAAAGGAAATCTGTGTGAGCCTTTTCTGCATGCTAGAGGAAAACTCAGTTTCTACAACCTAATTTTGACTAGGTCATGCCGCTCGCACTTTGAATGTTTTGCCGACACATCAAGCATTTGATACTGATCTCGAGACTCTCGAGAATTTTATATATTAAATTGTACCACTATCTAGAAGCCACGATATGATTTCCCCCACAAGAAGGAGAAGTCGAGGATGCACGCAATCGAATAGCCCATTATGGATCACCTATATTTTGGTGCCATTGTATTTAGCTGATANGAAGCAAAATATATGTATACTGCTGCAATATTATCTATAAGCTGTAGAACAAGGGTCTCCAAACTACGGCCCGCGGGCCGGATCCGAACCGCGAGGTCAGTTCATCCGGCCCGCCGTCGCATTGTGCTAAAAATTAGCTAAAATATAATTTTGTATAATTATAATTATATTTATATTTTTATGTAAATAATTATATTTGTAGATAAACTTACTATGTAGAAAAATTAAAATAAGCGTAAATAAAATTGCCAAAACTGGTTCAATCTGATTTTTGCATCTGACAGTAATATAATTTTTAGAAAAATCGATAATATAAAAAATCTGGCGACTTTTTGCGCCTTTGGATATCAGTACCTGTACACAAAAAGCGCTCTGAAAAAGTATAGGGTGGTTATACAGTAGAGCCTCGGTTATCCAATTCCCGATTACCCGACACCTCGGTTAACCGACAGTCCTAGTCAACAAATTTTAAATGTCCGCTAGTGATGTGGCGCTACAATATTTGGCTATGTCTTGGCTACTTTAATATTATTTTTACGTGTTTTAGCTGGCAACACTCATTCGACCATGAAAGCGAGCCAGTATTTAAACGAGGCTTAATTTTATAATTTTTAACGATACAATATTTAACGATTATTATTTTAAAAAATTTTTGTTAGGCTTAACATCGATGAAAATTCAACGCGAAGTAGGTTAATAGCGATATACTAATATACTAATATACTAATTACATGGGATATAATAATATACTACACTAATAATGGATATTTTATACTTCTCGGTTATCCGACTTTTCAATTATCCGACCAACCCCAGTCCCTAATTGGGTCGGATAATCGAAGCTCTACTGTAATTAAAGTTGCTTTACTCAGACCTGTCTAGAGCGCGTTCTCGTGGATGTATTTTGATGAAACTTGGTATATATGTTACTAGCGTTGTTGTGGCTCAAAATGTATCTATTATAAATGTATAACACTTCCCGCGGGAGAGAAATTCGAAAAATTCCTTCTTAGCGTACATTCTCTTGACGTACTCTATTAAAACGCAATCAAAAACGCAGAAAACCGCGTCTAAAATAGTATAATAGAAGCTGAGTTCTACACGGTAAGCCATAATTTTGTCTTTCTCCCTCGCGGGGGAATTTCGAAATCTATGTAATATACAAGTTCGGATACGTGCACTGCATATCTCGCCGACCACGCGACTGCGCCGCGCGATTATCTATCTGGTATACATACGCGTCTTGCCCCTCGCCACCCGCTGACATCAAAAATATAACTCATACCTAGATGATATCTTTTAATTTATATGAATTTTTAATAAAATAATATACAGCCTATTTCCACCCTGAAGGTTCATTCTAAATATTCGTGAAAGAATTTTTGAAATTGGATGAGTAGTTTTGGAGATTACCTCCGACATCCAAACTTACAAACTTTACCTCTTTATAATATTAGTATAGATATGGACAGCTGTACGGCGTTTTGAACATGTAATTGATGCAAATAGATTGCACATTGAACAAATGTTGTGAATAAAAACGTTTTGCGTGTTTCCATTTTGTGTTTCTTGTTCTTCATGCGCCATCTTTTACCTAGTAATAAAAATTCGAACTAAGTAGTTTTTTTTGCATTTTCCTTTTCCCCGTGGTCCATATAACATATATATCATCAAAACACGTTCACGAGAACGGACTCTACACAGGTCTGAGTAAGTCAACTTTAATTATACCTGCAATGAAGTTTCTAAGGAAAGCGATTACGAGCTTGCTGCAGCGACTGTGTTTATGTATTGGTAAATAAATGTGTTGGTTGTCTTTATTTTTTGTGTATTAAGTATACTGTATTGAACAAAATAGTTATGTGACCCGTGCTCGTCATTCATTCAGTTATGCGGCCCACTGTGAAAAAAGTTTGGTGACCCCTGCTGCAGAAAATTTTTTTGTCTGAAACTAAAATAAAAAAGATAGATAATAAGAAAAAATTTATTGAAATTTCGTTTACAGTTATTTTTTTAATTGGATATCCCACTTATAAAATTAATCCCATTTCTGGAAGTGTATTGCTGAATGGAATCAA